GAAGGCTATTTTGTAGGCTGTCAAGACATCTATGTGTTCATACTACAAATTCAATTCCCTCATTTCTCAACCTACTCATTCTCAGTTACTGTTAACTTCTGGGAGAAGCCACGCAAGCCCTTATTCCAGCCCAGAGTTTGAGCACAGGACTATTTCAGCATCCAGAACACACAGAGCAATGTGACATGAAAAAGTCAGGGAGAGGCTCCTGCTTTTACTTGACCCCACTTTGAGCTAGAGGTGAGGAGGGAAGAGGATTACAGTCCAAGACATTCACACCCATATCAAAAACGTTAGGCTTCTCTCGGGCAGCCACGTTAACACTTTCTCTGAGCCATGGCAGTGTCTTCAACACTTCGCCAAAAACAGAACTGGAAAAAAATATTATTTCCTTCTTGCAGTATAGTCCATTTTTTGTCCTGAGGACTAAACCATCCACTCCTAATATAACCTATAACACCTATACAATATTAGCAGTTGATCTCAGAGACAGAAAGAAAAGACGTGCTATCTCATCACCCAGAGTGGAGACATAAGCATCCAGATGATAAACCTGCTTGTTTGACATGCTCTTAAGTATTGGTGATTTACTTAATCAGGTCTCACAAAGAAACAAATTAAATCCATGGCTATTAGAAACAATGACTGCTTTTTAATAGGGACAGTAATTTTGCCCAGGCTGGCTGAATCCATTCACTGGCTCTGTGGTTGTATATTGTAGTCACACTCTCATGTACACACATGTGAACCCTCGCTTTGTCTCTCTAAGGCCTTTTTAAATAGAATTAATACCATTGCCAACTGATTCCTTGACTCTGCCAGGTAAACAGAATGACCCCAAACATTAAAGTCTCAGAGCCATTCATGCCCAGAATAGCAACTTCACCATCTATTACACTAAAAAAATAAAATCCTAAGGTATCCCAAAATTCAGGGAGTGATTCAAAGTTTGACTTTATTTTCTCCTAATAAACATATAAATCAAAACCAGAACTGCAGGGTAAGATGCTAAATGCTTAGTTATTGATGAAGGCACTCCTAGAATATTTCACTAATGGTTCAGACTTGATTAATATATATGTATAAAAGATCCTATTGATTTTGCTTAAAAAATATCTAAAAAATGCTCAACATGCTGGCAGCAGAAATATATTATGAAGTGCACAGAAAAACCACCATTTAAATAAAGGAAGAGAGAGAGCCAGTCAGGCAGAGACATTAGGAAGAGGTAAACGATGAAGCCCTTGTCGATCTCATCAAAGCAGCACCAGCACTAGAGGCAGCGGCAGGGCCAGACCATGGCAGCATACTGCTATGGACTAAAGATCACAAGTTCAAATTCAAGATGGACAATATTCAGCTCCAAAAGCAGGACAGGGTCTTCTACCAGGAATTTCCCCATGAACACCAACTCATTAAAACGAGACAAATCTTTCACTCTGTGTCACAGATATATTTTAGATGGTAAATCACAGAAACATGCATATTTTTCTGGCCAGAGTAGCACAGAATTCCTATTAACTACCATTTGTCTCAGCTAGGTACTAACTCTTCTACTAGTCTCAGAAATATTGTATACACACTTGTCCTCTTGCTCTAAACGGCCCTTAATGTTGTGATATCATGATTGTCAGTAATCAAGATCCACAATGACAGGATATTTTGTTCTGGAAAAAACTACATTTTTCTGTGTATATAGCACAACTCTGAAGTCTGGTATCTCAGGGACATGCACGTTAGTAAGAATAAAGAAGTTAAAATGAGTAGGTCCCTCGGTTCCCATGGGAACACAACACTTACTTCCAGATCTGCATAGGTTCAAGATACTGGGTTAAGCACTTATTAAAACATATCTAAAAAAGCTAATCCTAGATTTTTCAGTGGCTTCCTGGTTGCTATTCATGGGGATGAATGGCTCAAGGGGAAGAGACTCATTAAATCACAGGGGTACCTAGGAAAGAGCACGCAAGTGAGTTCAAGCACCTAGGAAACACACTGGGATGTAGCCAGAGGAGTCTGAATGTTTGAAAAGATAGCTCAACTGTTTAGGGCTGGAACGGGGCTGACACTCAGCAGTGGTCATAAAACAAGCTGTTATTGCATAATTTGCTCATGACTTTATGCGCTCTTTACACTGTGTCTTCTAAGAGCAGCTCTCTGCTGTCTGCCATAGCTTTGCGTGCTATCCGGCCATTTACAACTACAACCAAACATACTTTCTACCCAACTTGTAAATGAAATAAATAGCTTCTGTAGTTCAGTACAAGTTATGTGGAGAGAAGTTTGTCATTAATTTGAGATAAAGTTGTTCTGCCTTTATTTCTGGAGGTGACAGAACCTAGTGTTGGGGAAGATTAGAGGAACCCCAGGAAAAAACAAGTCTAGCTGGAGCTGGTGAAAGTCTCTTTACTTGCTACAGAAGAATAAAAGCATTGAGGGAAGTTGCATTTGTAAACTGAAAGATACCTCCAGTCTTTAGAAACATTACCTATACACCTTATGCAGATTCCTGTGTAAGGTGAATGTGTACAACTGCATTCCTCCTCTCCCTATGCTTTCCATATGCATTAGGACTTGCAGCCTAAATCAAAACTTGCTGATGTCAACAGGATGCTTTCTTTTGATTGCCATTTAATTTCTCTCAAGTGACTAGACTATAGAATAGATCCTGTCTTCTCAGGATCACAGATCTGTTAGCAATAATTACAACAGACTAGTTGCAAGCTAACCTAAAAGCTGATGAAAATATAATTCTCCTTTTGAAATTAAAAATATCAGGGGGTCTTATACGGAATAGCAAGAAAGCCATGGCGAGCATTAAACAAACAGATGAGAGAAAAAACGTGCTAGACACTTATAACACTGTATACAAATGTACCCTATTAATAGAAAGATTTCTCAATTGCACTAATTTTTAAAGAAACAAATCCCCGTGGATTAAACAAGAAAACTAACAGAATTACATTTTCTGGGCTATTTTTTAAAGAGCAGAAAGATAAAGAAAATGAGAACTTAATCCAGAAGACCACTGGGATAACAGAAAGTAGGTTCCTGGAAAAAAACCCAAAAACCAAAACAGATTTAGAAAATAAGAGAAGCTCTGTTTCAATCAAAGTCTTTGATCATTCAAGATAAGTATACTGGAAAATGACATTTTCTGCTTTATTTGATTTCTTTAGCAAATAATCTCTTTCTTCTCTGTTCCTATCCAATGTACCAAAAAACCCACCCTGAAAAGAAACAACTAAAATCTCCCAGTGTTCTTGTTCTCTTACTGAACACAACTCTTCTCTCCCATCTCTGAAATCAAAACTACTTACAATGATTACTTCATCCATATTGTACATTAAATATGCTGCTGCTACAGTGCTCTAACATCTCAATTTGCTTGTGATATTTTCAACATTCCCCTTAAGTTCCTTATAAGAATATACAAAAGAAGAAAACTGTTTACTGAACAATGAAACATAAACTCTATCCTCCCTCTAAACAAAAGCTTCATTAATCTTGAATAGCCTTCAGTTTCTTATTTTATAGAAAACAAAAAACCCTATAGATGTCGGGAAAGGTATCCAGCAATGAGAAACTTCAGGATATTTATTTCATTTCTTAGGCTGAAAGTAAGGTTAGAACTTGATCATTACACTTAATACCGGCACACGGAGAAACTGCTTTTTGTAAGGCACAAAGACATAGCATGCAGCATGTGGAGATTCAAGTCAAGTTGGGAATAAAACAACTTCTTTTAAGAAATAGAGGTAATTAGCCACCAAGGTAACTTACCATGGAAAGTACCAAGTCCATTAACACAGAGTATTAAATCAAATTTTTATGTCTCTCTGTAAAAGTTACACCCTAATATAAGCACAAACTCTTGGCTTTACAGCATTCAGCCACTCAAGAGTAAGAAAGTCAAGTCCCTGTACTCCAGAGCCAAAACCCAAAGGTGCAGGAGTTGTACAAAGCCACAGCAGGCCACTCGGCCAGCGGCCGCATAGAACTCTTAACAGCAGCCAGTCCATTCCTCTTTGGTGACATTTCAGTGACAGTTTCAAAAGCAGGGCTTTCACTCAGATTATCACTCACATGTTTAAACTACTCTTCATGTTCCTCATTACGACAAGAAGAAAATAGAGACACTACTAATTTATAGGGTGACACATAGGGGAAGGCCTTTTAGGATAGTCCATTACACCCATGGGAACAAACCAGAGTGCTTTTTAGTATTCTGAAACCACTGTCGTTCAGTCCTTTTGAAAATCCCAAGGGAAGCAATGGTGAGAAATAATCAGTGCAATCAAATTCTGCTGACTACCTGAACTGTGGAACAGGCCCTCACTGACTCAGTGAATTAAAACGGTTTCAGCAAGGATCATTGATGGTGGATCCCTCTCTTGTCCGTACAACTTCCAGTCAGCACCAAATCAGTCAAAGCCCAGAAACGGATCAGTCTTCTACTCCATCCATGAGAGACAGCTCAAGCAGTACACAGATGGCAAAAGTAAATTCCATAAGCCCTGCGAAGGGCATAGCAGTTAACTATGCTTCAAATTATGGATAGTCACCAACTGGGACATTGTACCAGAATAAGATATGTACACCTGTAACGACAACTGCATTCCTCAGAGCATTTGTTATCAAACAGTTATCTTGGGGGATTGTTTACACTTAAAACTATTCACTTACACTGATATTTCAGACTTAACATAAAATATTAGCATCTACATTTAATGCATTCTGGATAACACCTGACTGAAAGAACAATCTGCATAGGAAAAACTGCAGTAAAATGGACATATCCTGAAATGGCTTTCAAGAAAGCAAATCACTACACCACATTCTTGTATCCTTCAAGTTATGACAGTCTTGTCACCACAGTATTTCAGGGTTTGATTACCAGCTACAGAGAAAATAGAAAAGATTTTTTTTTTTTTGAGCGCATTTATCAAACCTTAATATTTAAAATTTTTTATTGAGGAATTGGCAGCAATGGCTATATTGCACCCTGTAAGTTCTTTAAAAGTTTACAAAAGATTTGACATCAGTGGCAGACCCATTTACAGTGTGCAAGAAGGAAAATAAAAAGATCAGGAAACAGCAAGTGCTGGATATTTTCAGTGCATGTTCTAATCCCAGAAAACAAAAGAACCATTTTTCTTGCACTGCAGTTTGTCACCCTCCCAGGACAGACTTGTAAATTTACACAGGAGGCAAGACAATCCCAATCCAATCTTAAAATGTCTCAATCATTCAGTCTTTTTCCTTGACCCAACTTATCACTTATCTTCACAGCTCACAGCCGTTTCACCAGGATGCTCTGTCTTCAATTTTTTATGAGATGGCTCTCCCGGGAGAAGAGACGTGCAATGCTCTAAGGATCGTGCAATTTCATCAATTGTCCATTTGTCTTCATAAAGGGCATGCTCCTCTAGCGTAAATGGCCCATGTTTGGTTCGGGTCAGCTCTTGCATTGTGGCACAGGTAGAGAGTTCTACAGTAAAGCAGAAAAGAGGATTTAGAAAAAGTGCACGGTCAAGTTTAACTACTTGCAACTCACTGAAAATGTATTTTTACATGTAGCCTTCTACATTATTCTGCTTTGTCTGAGAAGGAAGTTCATGAAGATTTATCACTCATTTATATCTTCTTAAATTTGAGCCAAGGAGTTCCTTTGATTTCAACAGATCTCCAGTGTAGTAAAGAGTTCAAAATCTGACAGAAAGTTGTCAAAAGGTTTTCCATATTTAAATCAGAATAAAAAGAGAGGAAATAATGACATAAGATGTAAGCAGAATATTCTGTATTCACCAATGACTTAGAAGACCATGTACTATTTTTCCATAGACTTTGAGGCCTTAGCACTTCTTGCCTTCAAGGACTTTTGACATTTTTATCCTATTTCATCTATCAGGACAATATAAATTAAGAAAAGGAAAAATAAAAAATATAAACAAATGCTCTGATATGTTAAATAAATACCAGTAGGACAGAATTACATAACGAGGGGCTACAAAACATAACAGCAATCACAGATGACTTGTAAATGCACAGGTATACTAAAATATTCTCTCCCATCCTTTCTGATGCAGGAGGATTTTTACTGCATTTTAAATTTTTAAAAAGAAACCAGCTGAGGACAGACTTTATCTTGGTTTATCATTAAAGGACTAAACATAAGCCAGTATGCTCAGAAGGCAGTAACAGAAAGAGAATCTTTGACTTGCCTAAGCACAATAACAACATTGAAATTCATAGGGTTATCCCACATCACTTGCTTTCTTGATCTGCAAATGTATCATTTAAAAAAAAAATAAAATTTGAAATGGATTATCTGTTCTCCATGATGCAGTGTGATAGATATAGAGCACAAGACAAATAACCCTGTGGGAAAGCAAAACCATTCACAGTTCAGGCAAAGGAGAAAGAAAACACTAGAAAAATCATCACAAATGTAGCAGTCTTTGCAGTAGATAGGGTTTATTATGTGCATGGTAATGCTCTGTGCAATCTGTTTTCAAAATGTGATGAATAACGTTTAAAAAGACAGTATCTTTCTTCTTCTCACGCTTAATCTGAGTTAGCTTTAACATATGGAGGAGGGGAAAAAAAAATGCCCACCTTGCCTTGTATTATCCTGCTCAGTGCTATTACTTGCTCCATTTTTATCCCCCAGCCCCCAAGGTCCTCTGGCAATTATTTAGCCTTTGTTTCCCCATGCTCCCAAGGAAAATACCTTAGTATATAAAAACAAGTGATAGCACTACACTTCTGCAAAATAACACATAGGTTTGGCTGCCGGAGATATATAAAATGACAAAATTTTTCCATAAACAGACACGTTCATTCCTTAAACTGTCATGGGTTTTCTTCATGCCTACCTTTGCCAATGTCACTGACCAGACTCCTGACATAAAAGCCACCACCGCATTCAACATCTGCAATGTTAATAGTAACATGGTAAATTGCCAGTGCAATGTGAAATCTACTTTACATAGAAACCATGCCCCCACACAAATGTAAAAATGCGCTAAGCAAACAACCCAGTGATAAAATATTTATAGGATGCAACATCAATTATTCATCCTGTAACATATGTGCGGGTGAGATTGCTAAACCAGACAGGAGGGAAAGCAAATACAATGGCAACTGAACTAACTCACTAGAAATTAAGTACTTGCTGTGGTATGTTACCAAATGCTTCAGTCCTATTCATTTTAAAGGTTTCAGAAGGTTGTTTCATATTTCTAATGATGAAAAGGGATTTCAAGTATAGTCTAAACTGACTATCGATGCCTTTAAGATACTGCACACAGGCAGCTCTGTTAAAATTTTAAAATTTACCTTTAACTTTCCCTGATCTCTCAGCCCTTCCCTTCCCCCTCTGCCAGTGATCAGCTGCTAGTCACCCAACCATAAAGTAAAGTAACACAGCCCTGAGCTCTGTCACTCATACCTGCTCATCATATGATAACATCTGGTCTACCAGAGGACTATAGGTCAGCTACATAACTGATCAATGCAAGACATTATCTTGACCTCACAGGAGCATCAAACATTTACAACAGTCTTTTTGGTTTATTTATTAATGTGCTTCCTAATGTACTACCCAAGTTTCTTCATGTATGACAGAAGGAAGGATAAGACCCTGCCTTCCCAACTGAGAAAGAGGTCTGACAGTAACTGATACTGGTCCTTGCTGCACCCTGGGAGAGATGGCAGCAGCTCTGGGCATCTGGGTAAAAGAACCAGCAAAGTGAAGCAAGCAAACCCGAGAAAGGAGAGAGACAGAGGTTGCAAAATCATGGACAGATGTAAATAATCCCCTGACCAGCCTCTCAGAATTTTCCCTCACAGAAAGATTATATGTAATCAGCTTAACTTAAAACCAAAATACGGTGCTTTTACTGCAAAGTGAAAGTGTCTGCACATGGGCTCGCACCAAAGTAAGTAGCTCAGGGAAATGAAACTCATTTCACTTATTCCCACTCTGCGCGTAAACAAGCACTAAAAAGCTGGGACCATCACCCTATGTAATAATCTTTGGCCTTTACCCAGTGTGAATAGTGGTGGCTGGAACTGTTGGAGAGAGAGGCTGTACACTCTCACTGGCCGAGCAGGCTTTGCTTCGACTGCTTCTCCTCTCTTCATCAGAGTTGATAGCCTTTCTCCATCCTTCTTCAAAGCAGAATAGCTGATCAGATAGAGCATGAAAATGTGTGTCATACAGTTGTAATAGAACAAGCTTCCCATCCTCCAGATCCTGTTAATATTGTACTAGAGTAGCGTATATTTTACCCTTCTAATCCTCTCCAAGTGCTCACACAAAAAAACCCCCCAACCTAGTAAGTGCTTCTGAAATCTCTTAGACACAGAATCATCTCATTTGCCAGTAACTATGTAAACTGGGAAACAAGAGACAGTCTTGTATTTATCTGTTGCTGTACAGATTTAAAAGTGTTTCATCACTCAATTTGTAGTTTATGAAAACAAAGGGTTTCTGTAAGGGGTACACACTTGCAGCTGCCTCTAACACACTGTCTCTCAGAAGCCTGCAGGGTGTACTCTGTTTCAGTGTTACGTTGAGCTGAGCACTGGGAGCTGCTGGGGCAACTCCTGTAATTCTATCTTGCATCTTTACCCATCTCACACCAGGGTTTTCCCTGAAACACAACTGCCAAGTTATGTAGCCTTGTTCTAGGGTGTTTAGGGGACCACTGTAGGACCAAAAAAAAAAAATTAATTTTACTGATCACATGAAACTTTATCCAAAGCTCCAACTTCAGTCTTACCAGAAAGATAACCACAGAAAAATCAAAAAAATCTTGCTCAAATTAGCAGAGGGTAATTTGAAACTGTTCACATGAAGCAGAACACCTACTGAATCACTAACCTTACAGGGCTTACATTGGAACCACAGTAACCGACCCAGTGCAAATACAAAGGAAAGCATGTTAGCTTAAATCACCATAAAAGCCATCTGTCACAAGCTAAGTGCTTGCACAATGCCAGCTACTATGGCTCACCTGACTAGAAGAAATTTGCAAAGCTACAGAAGCTCAGTCACTAATCACTCATTCATACTCAAGTTTTCAGAAAACTAATTCAAAGTCATTTAAAGCGCAGATGTCAGTAAGCCTCCCCTTACCCCACAACTAAAATTAAAGACTCAGAGCTTTGCTTTCTAATTGGAAGACAGGAGAGAAGCCACCGAGCCCTGCAAAGCTGTTTAAGACTGCTTTGCTACTTTACATTTACCATAAAAAAACCAGACTCCAGGTTACCATTTGCACTTCATGTTCAAATGGGCATGACCTGCAGTTGCAAATGTTAAACTCCTAGGTCTGCCTTTCCTCTATCGTCTTGCCAAAATGTGTCTTTTTATTTCTGAGAGAATTGACTTCTGTTGGCAAGTCCCGACAGCTGAACACAACCGCCAAGAGTGTCTGAATATTGTGGAACTTACAGTGGAGGAACCTGCATTATGTCCCCTGTGAACTTTTGCAGCACATTTTCAAGATCTCCTTTTGTTATCTGGTCTGTAGAAAGAAAACAGTAAGTCTGTTAGCACTGATTATTCACATGGCACTAATGGCACCAATCACGTTCTGCAAACGGACACAAAGAAGAGGTCCCTCTCATCTGAATTTAGACTGTGTGAAAAACACCAAAGAAAAGAGATAAAAACCAGAATGTAGGTAGGAGTATGAATTATCACAAAAAGGGTGGAACAAACTGTCCAAGGTGATTAAGACAGTCTGGACGCTTTCAGAAGGGCAGAAATCCCAATACATACAGTTTTCTTTTGCAATTTCTCCCTCTTGGGACTGCAAATTCACTTTTCTTGCGAACTATACAAAAACTACGAAATTTGTCCTATTCCAATTTTTTTAAAGGACTAAAAAGATTAAAATGTTCATCTAACCTTGGCAACTTCTCTTTCAGAGCACCTCAGTGCAGGGAAAAATACAACAGATTATTAGAGAACAAAAGCATCACGTGTTTGGTTTTTTTCTAGTGAAGAAAACGACTGCATCTGGCACAACACATCAAATTTCTATATCAAACAACTAACCTGCAAACACACACCAGGGTATTGTTATATATTAAGTAAGGCAATTTTACTGAAGAAATCCTGTAAAAGAAAGACAGCTGCTTTAGGCAATCTACTCTCTTTTAAGAGTACACATACACATCTGTCCCACTTTTATTAGAAGGCTATAACCTAAGTAGCTGATTGGTCTTTTGCAATACTATTCAATACAGATGATGTTCATCCTTAATTTGTTTAGAGAGTACAAACATAAGATCTGTAATCACAATGCACTTCAGTGCATTTCTACTGTCTAGGACTTGACCAGTTCTCTTTCTCCTAAGCTATATTCAATTAGTGTCACCCTGCTAAGTCAACAGCATCCTGGAACATAAACCAACCAAATTTATTTACTGAGCCTTCATTATGTTTTGAAACAGACCTTTACTTGCAAACCTTACAAAACAGATGTGCTTCATGCTTTAAGTAAACAAAGAAGAGGTTTCTTTCCACAGCAGCTTTGGAAGATGGCAATGTGGTACCTCACTTTTGCAAAGCTCCCTTCACAGGTGTGCTCAAGAGCAGATGCTGTCCCTAGGCCCCAGCAGCTGTCTCAAGAAGTGTCATTAACAGCGAGGTTGCAAGGCACAGAAGTCAGTCAGGGATGCTGAGAGACCAATGTACATCAGAATACAGGGTAGGAAAACAAAATCAATTGTATAGTAAGTCTGGATCTTCTTCTGAAGAGTTTCTTCCATGATTATTTAATCTTCTATTTGTATTAATCTAGTTTAGCGACATATCACAACAAAACTACATGGTGGAAAGTCAGCATGGCCCAGCTCTAGCTGGTGATCCTGGCAGCCGCCTTGTGAACCTCAGGTTGCTTCAGGCTAGAATTCAGTATTTAAGATCTAAGCATAAGTGTCACTTGGGGTTCTCTTTCAATTTTCACCCCATAAACTGCATTTGTGGCTAGGGCATTTAATGAGACACCTGAGTTCAGTTCCTGCTCTGATCTCATAATCACCTGACTGAGAGGTTACATCTAGCCTCTGAGGAAATCACTTATGCTATAGGCAATCTCTATTTCAGGAAAAAAAAAATTTCCCCCCATGAAGAATGATGTATTAAGCCATTAACGAACAAAGCTGTATGGTGTCTTATCAAAGTAAATATTTACAGATGAGTTTGCTAAGATCTAGAATAAATCATATTTGTCTTCTGTGATACACCATGGCACAAGGTGGCTAGTATTACATTCTGAAAATCTAAAACCATGTGCTGTGGTGGGTTTTTTCCAGCATACCCTGCCTTTGTGCTAATGGACTGTATTGGATTCTTGCCCTCTCCCAGAGCAACACACAAGCTCGTGGAGCTTTTATCCAGCTTTCAGTCATAGTCTTGTCCCAAACAAACAGTTTCACTGTGTCTGAACTGCGTGTTTGTCCCAGGCATCAGTTTGGACTCGTGGCTCTGCAGGGCACACAGCCCACACAGGGAACCAGCTCCTTCACCACCTTTCAGCTCCCACAGCCGTTACACCCACAGCATAGGTAGGGGGATGCTGCC